CTGGATGTGCTCACCAGTTTATGCCAGGAAATTTGGAGGACAGCTACTTGGTCAACTGACGGGAAGAGATCCATATTTGCCTCCATTCCCAGAAAAGGTGATTCAACAGAATGTGGAAATTATCAAGCAGTATCACTGATATCACATGTGAGCAAAATACTGCTGAAGATCATTTTGAATGTGCTAGAATAGTTCATTAATAGGATACAAGAAGTTCAGGCAGGATTTAGAAGAGGCTCTGGCACCAGGGATATCACTGCTGGTGTCAGATGGATCCTGGCTGAAAGTCAAGAATATCAGCGGAATGTTTATTTATGCTTTATTGACTATGCAGAGTTACTTGATGGTGTGGGTCATATCAAGACATGGCTAACACTGAAAAGAATGGGAATCCCAGAACACTTAAATGTGCTCATGCAAAACCTATACCTAGACCAAGAGACTTTTGAGCAAATGGAGCAAGAGAATACATGGTTTAAAATTAAGGAAGGAGTGTGTCCGGGTTGTATCCTTTCTCCATACCTATTCAATCTGTATGTTGAGCAAATAGGGCTCTATGAGGAAGAATGTTGTGTCAGGATCAGAGGAGGACTCATCAATAATGTGAATGATACAGATGACACGACCTGGCTTGCTGAAAGTGAAAGGACTTGACACCCTTGTTGCAGAAGATTAAGGGCTGCAACCTTCGATATGGATTGCAACTGAACATTAAAAAAGAAAACACAAAGGCATCACCACAAGCGCATTATGATAAATGGAGAAAGGATTGAAGCTGTCAGTGATTTCATCTTCCCTGTATCAACAATAAACATCCTTGGTACCAGCAGTCAGGAAATCAGGAGACATAGTGCATTGGGCAAGTCTGCTGTCAGGAAACTTTCCAGCGTGTCGAAGAGCAATGATGTCAGTTTGAATACTAAGGTGTGCCTAATTCAGGCCATCATCTTCTCAGTCGCCTGCCATGCATTGGAGAGCTGGGAATGACTAAGGGTGACAGAAGAATTGATCCCTTTTACTTGTGATATTGAAGAAGAATACTAAATATCCCACAGACTGCCAAGAGAACAAACAAATAGGTTTTGGAGAAGGCACAACCAGAGTGCCCCTGTGGGGCAAAGAAGCCAGACTTCATCTTTCACACTTCATACGTATAGCTAGACAAGGCTAGTCATTGGAGAGAGACCTCCTGCCTGGAAAGACGGGATCAGCGAAGGAGAGGGAGACCCCCATTGAGATGGATTGACGTGGGGACTCCAGCAATAGGCTAGAGCATTTTGGAGATGATGAGGATGGCACAGGGCAGGACAGGGTTCAGGTTGCCTGGTCACGGGGTCACTATGAGTTGTACTCGACAGCACCTAATAACAACAACGACTTATGCTTTAAATGTTGTTGTTGTTATGTGCCATCGAGTCGCTTGCGACTCATAGCAACCCTATGTACAAGAACTCTAAATGCTGTTCTATCCTGTGCCAACCTCACCATCTCAAACGCACTTATTCCCACCGCTCCAGTCACAGAATCGATCCATCTCATCAAAGGTCTTCCTCTCCTTCGCCACCCCTCCACTCTGCCAAATATGATGTCCCTCTCCAAGGACCAGTCCCTCCTTGCAACATGCCCAAAATATGTCAGACGAAGCTTCAGAATCCTTGACTCCAGGGAACACTGTGGCTTCACCCTCTCCAGGACAAACCTGTTTGTTCTCCTATGCTTTAAATAGACTGTCAAATATAAGCAAAAATGCCCATTCAACTGATAACTTAGACCACTGAGACTTTTTAGATCACTGAGATTTTCTAAAAAGTTATTGGTGCATTAAAAATTCTCAAAAAAGAGTTATAAAGGAACCAACAGGCAGGGAACCAAATATTTGGCAAGGACACAGCTGATAAGGGACTCAAAAGTTTATAGACAACTTCAGCACCTAAAGAAAAAACCCAAAATTACAGAATGAGCCAAGCACATATGTAGATACTTTACCAAAGAAGAAATTCATATGGCAAACAAACTCATGACAAATTGCTTAAAATTGTTATATATCAGAGAGATGCAAACAAAAACAGCCATGAGTTATCATCTTACTCCAGAAACCACAGCAAAGTTCAAAAGAGCAGTAAACAACAAATACTGGTTAGGGTGTGGAGAGACTGGAATGCTCATACACTGCTAGTGAGAAGGTAAAATGGTGCATCCTCTATAGGTAGGAATTTGGCGCTCCCTTAGAAAGTTGAAAATAGAAATACTGTATTTCACCCAGTACTTACCTTGTGGTGTTGTTGTTGATTGCCTTCAAGTCAAACACGACTCATAGGAACCCTATGAACAAAAGGCCTGAAGCCACTCTACAAATATTTTTTATCAAAGTTCATAGATTTTCTGGAGGCATGTTGTTTAGGAAGTGATTACCACTCCTGCTCGTAAAGTACTTACATTATTAAATGTTATTCCTAATGAATAAGAGCTCAGATACCTGCACATAACTGTTCACTGAAGCATTGTTTACAATAACAAAGGGATGTAAACAGCCCAGGTGTCAGGAGGCATCCAGATAAAGGACCTACAACACATTCACACCATCGAGTGCCATGAAAGAGCAGCCGAGAACTCGCAGAACACTGCATCGCATAGATAAATCCAGATGACATGCTGAGTGAACTAAGAGCAGGCAGATACTGTATAATACCACTACAGTAAAAAGCTAAAGAAAGGTTTACGCTCAGAAGGAATAATTCTTGCTTGGTAACCAGGAGCAGGAAGGGAAGAAAAGAGAGAGGAAAAATTGGACAACAGATTATAGTCATATACTAAGGTGAGTGAATGAGAAGGCAAAACACAAAGAAGAAATCCATCAGGACAATATACTTGCAAAGAAAGGGAAGACTCAGAGGGGTGCACAAGAGATCCAGCCAAGAGAAGGTGTACAAGCAGACAGGGAAGAGGAGCCGACATCAGTGGAAATGAGAGATAAAGAGAGAAAGGAGACATGGGATTGCTTTGTGGGTATGAGAATTAATGTTATGGGGGAAAGGTGTGTAAAGATGAATTTGCTTTGTAAACTTTTACTCAAATCACAAATAGGAAATAAAAACAGAAATATATTCTAAATCTGAGCTTTCTTCTGTCCGCATTCCTCATGACAATTGTTTTAATGACAGTTCCCCTATTTAGTGACTGAGTCCTTCCCCGGTATAAGTCATGATGGTATTGTGAGAGATGAAATGATAAATTAGACCCAAGGTACATAATATAATGAGACGTCTAACATGTGAAATGGGAAGCCCAGCTTTATCAGCTGGGGAAAATCCAAAAGCTCAAAAGAGACCTACAGCAGACATAAAAATCCCATAAAGAAAGGATTCCTGAGGGTATCAAAAAGTGAACATTTTACACAATACTTTGCTGAGCATCTGAAACCTAGAAAGATCTCAGTACATATAAACAGATTTTGATCTCCTCCTCCCTCTTTGCCAATACGTTTCTTCCTCTTTCTTTTCATTTTTCCCTCCTTCCCTCCCTCCCTTTAGCTGAGAAGTCAGTTATGTCCAGTTGTGAATAAGGGAAGCTGGTATTTCATGGGGGGTTTGATAACTGCATTGCTGTCATGCACCTTTCCATAAGCAATCAGTGAAAATTTGTGAAAGGATCCCAAGAATAAACAGAACCCACTTCTTTTCTGATTTTATTCATACATAGGACCCTAAATTTGACATGTCTCCTTCCTCATTCCTTCCTTCCAAGTCAGCATTTCTTTCTGCTAGGAGCTCTGGGCTGATGGGAGTGATTTGAAGAGTGGCCTTTGTTATTGCTGAGGTGGTTTCTAAGTCCAGCCCTTTTACCAGGGCTTCCTCACCCTGAACACCTAGGACCTGTGCTTTGTCTTTGCGATATGACAGTTGTTCTCACACAAAGGCAGCCCTCTCCTCTTTGAAACATCCCCCTTCTGGTTAGAAAACATGGGAGACTGACTGAATCAATAATAGTAGGTGTCAGGTGATTTCTTCCACTTAGGACTTCCGCCCCAGGTTTGATTTCATCTAAAAATTGTCACCTACTTATCAAGATCATCTACCTCTAAAGTCAAGTCTACTTCCAATCTACAGAGTAGAGGTTGCAGAGTCCTGGCATGTCATCATCTGGTTCGCCGCCAGCTGCAGAAATGATACGTGAGCATTAGGTTTGGAAAGAGAAGAAAGTAAAACTCAGCACTGAAGGGGGGTGAAAAAAAGAAAGAAAAGAACACCGCTCACTGGCCCCAGGTCTTCAATCTCCCTTGAGATTTTATTATGAGTGTAGAGAACTGCACACGATTACAATTCTACACACTTTTATGAAATAACCATTGTTACAACAAACTCCAACCATATTGCTTCCTCACATAATTTTTTATTTAATTAACAAATATATTGAACTTTTATCCTGTATCAGATCGAGCACTGTTCTGAGTACATTTCTCTTCAAGAAATTGCCAAAAGAAGAAACTAGTAGCCAACTGGTTGTAGACTACTCCCCCCAGTTCACTCTTCCCCTTGAAAAGTAAAAGAAAAATTCTTTTCATTGTTATGCGATCTCTCCCCCCAAGTCCACTGTACTGTGCAGCCTTCGTTCTGGACTCCTGTCATGACAATAATACCCAATCATGTATCCCTTTTAAACAGTTCTCTCCCTCATCTGTTTCAATGCAGTGTACATCATTCCTCCCCTCCTTCTCTGTCTTCCCTCAACCCCGATGTCAGGCTCGTTTGACAACAGTGGCACTGTGCAATATGTGTCCTTTTGTGACTGAGGTTGTCTTGCTTTTCTTTCTCTTATGGCCTCCCAATATGATTTGTCAAACAGAGACATAATGCCAGGACTGCACTCATTAGAATCAGAAGTATTACCATCATGATTATATGTCCTTTCAGTCATATTCCTGAATCACTGCAAGTTGAAATGAATGCCGCAATGTGCCATTAACCTGGGGCCGTGTCCTGTTCCCTTGCTGCCCATCACAGGTGTCCCTTGTGCATCTCCTGAAGACCGTGCGGCTGCTGCGTCTCCTGCGTCTCCTGCAGAAGCTGGACCGTTATTCCCAGCACAGCACAATCGTCCTGACCCTGCTCATGTCCATGTTTGCCCTCCTTGCGCACTGGATGGCGTGTATCTGGTATGTCATTGGAAAAATGGAGCGGGAAGACAACAGCCTTCTCAAGTGGGAAGTTGGTAAGGGCTTGCATTTGTCGCCTTTCCCCTTTCTAAATTGAACAAGAAGATTGTCCGCAATTTGAAGGTGGAAGAGGAGTCTGCGAGTACAGACTCTCTTATTGTCAACTTTGAATCTTTTGTTGTTGGTACTGTCCGTGATTCAAGCCTTTTTTTTAAATAGAATTTTTATTGACCTTTTTTAATTTGTCAGAGAATAAGGGACCAACATTACAAGGTAAAATAGCTATTCAAAATGAGTAGGGAGATCATAAAAGCGTCCACATGTTAATATGTTCATAGATTAATATTTCAATATAAAGTTGGTGGTGTTGATCTGTGCTCCTTAGTGAACAATGACTCATAACGTCCTTAGAATCAACTCAGGGTAAATTTTTCCTGTCCTGTGTCATCCACACAATCGCTGCCTTTCTCAGGCCTGTCACTGCAATCATTGTGTCAGTTCATTTTGTTGAGGATAGTAAAAATAAATTACTGGGTAACTTCTTGCTGCGGGGCCTACTGGCAGGACCATGTTGTATGAAGAAGAGATTGACGTTATTAACAATTTTAGCTTGCTCGGCTCCACAGTCAACACTCTTGGCACCAGCAGTCAGGAAATCAAAAGTCCTCATTGCACTGGGTGAATCTGCTGTCAGGGATCTTCTCCAGAGTATTGAGAAATAACGATGTCTGTCTAGAGCGTAAGGTGCACCTGATCCAGGCCATAGTCTTCCCAATTACTTGCCGTGCATCAGAGACTGGACAGTGACTATGGATGACAGAAGAAGAACTGATACCTTTGAGTTGTAGTGCTGGAAAAGAGTATTGAACATACCATGTACTACCAGGAGAACAAATAGGTCTGTCGTGGAGACTGTGAAAACAAGTTTCTCCTTGGAGGCAAAGATTTTGAAGATCTGTCTCACATACTTTGGGCATGTGACCAGGAGGGACCAGACCTTGGAGAAGGACATTATACTTGGAAGGGTGGAGGGACAGCGCAGGAGAGGAAGACACCAGATGAGATGAATTGACACAGTAACTGGGGCAATGGGATTAGATGTGTTGGAGTCAATGAGACTGGCTCAGGATAGGGCAGGATTCAGAGCTATTGTACGTATAGTCACTCTGAGTTGTGGGTCACATGATGGTACATAACAACTATTCTATGCCCTATCATTGCAGTATTTTTTTAAAAAAATTATTACATTTGTGTTGTAAATCAAAGGAAAATATATCCCTATTTTTTTATTTAAAATATACAGAGCTAGCGTCATGAAGAAATTTTCAAGTTTAATATGCTTTAATAATTTGTAGTGACAGAATGAACTAGATATAAAAAATATACCATTTGTAAAATGCTGTGTCTCTAAGTGCGTCGGGGTTAAATGCAAATGTTCTAAGCCTTACATAATTCTACATAAATTAGTTTTAAATATACAGCACGCAACACATCTAAATGTGTTAAACTCATCTGAATCCTAGAAATTTGTAAAGAATGAAAGGTCTCTAGGTTATAATTCTCTAAAATATTTTCATCAGTTTCACAATCATATGATTTCGAGAACTGTCAAAGTGTGCTGTGTAGGGTATTGTTCTTAATTTGCCGTATATGCAAAAGAAACTCTTTTTCTTAGTTGGAAAATTCTCCACTAACTTTCATCATCAAAAATCAATTTTGAACTTTTGGGTGAAATTTAGACTTTTTTCCCAGGGATAAAGCGACAGAGCGTCTCAAGAGAAAAAAATTTTCCAGCCAATACTTTGTGCATGATGGACTTAGAGCAGCCCTGGCTTGGCCCTTCTAAAGGCCCCTCTCTCCTCATCGGGCATAATACAGAAACCTTCAAAGGACATCCTTGGAGAATGAGCTGACGACTTGAAGGAAGTCAGTCCAAGGGAATGAATCCTCTCTCTAGGCTCTTAAAATTGCTTCTGTACATCTCAATACTAGCCCTGAGCTACACAAACCAGCTGATACACCTGATAAATTTCATCTCAGAATGGTTTTCTTATCGTCCCAATAAAAGCACTTTTTCTATGCCTTGTGTGTGAGCCTTCATTCTCAGAAAGGAAGGAATGTCCTCACACATCTCGGTCTTATCCCTGAGCTATACAAAGCAACTGATGTGTTCTGATAATTTTCATCTCAGAATGGGTTTCTTATTTTCCTGATAAGAGCACTTTCTTGAGGCCTTGCTGTGGAGCTCAATCCTCAGAATGAAGGAGAGATCTGAAACCCTCAGAATGAAGGAGAGATCTGAAACGGCCGAGTGAAAGGAGAAGTCGCCTGGATAAAGGAGAAAGAAGAGAGGAAGGGCAAGAGACAGCCTGAGAGAGGAGTTAAAACGATCAAGATTGGGATAGTACTTGGAAGAAAACGTGTGGAGTCCCTTAATATTGTCCTCATAACTCTGTTGGGAAGCGGCCCTTACCACTATCATTTCCACGTTGTGTGCAGTGAATTTACAGCATTAGGTCTCTGTCCTTTGTTTCTGAACCCATACTTAAATAACTTGTGCTTAGCCACTTGATTCCTTTCGAGATCTGACCTAATTTCCACTCAGCACCAGACCTGGACACTCACAGTCATTTGTAAGCCTTGGCTAGTCTGAGAGTCTCCAGATGGGGAAATTCAGCTTATTCACGCTCTCAAATTTAGTTACATGGGGAAAGAGCTCTGTCTCATTTCGGACATGCCAGTTCTGAGGCAGACGTACACTCTTACCTTGCAGATGGGTCAGCAAACATACAGAGGCGTTTCTTTTACAAGAAAAAGGAAACCAATCCCTTGGGTTCCTTCTCTTCCCATTCCCTTTCAGTACTGAGATTCTAGTGGAATGTGATGCACAAGACCTTGTAGGTTGAACTTGGCTGCATGCTAGATAGACATCAACAGATGCTTCTTACCATTACGGCTCCACCACTAACCAGCTGTGCACAATTCCAGCATCAATTGTTTACCTATCTGGGTCTCAATTTCATGAAAAAAAAAAAACTCACCATAGAGATTGAAAGTCCCTTTCAGACTTCATAATTCATAGGTTTATTGGAAAAGCAAACCCATATTGTCTATTATTGCATATGTATGTATCTTTTTCTCATCACAGCTCAGCACCCACATGAGCCTTGGTGTTAATCACCAGTGTCAGCTGGTTCAAGGTCAATGGTTATGTGAGGGAGTGTGATCAGACCGTGCTGTATAATTGTTAAGCTTTTCTCAGCCTCGTGGATTCCGGTGGCTGCTGGAACAAATGACCCCAAACTTAGCGTTGACTTCTTAGACTTATAAGAAATTTAGGGGTCCTGTTATTGTAGAATGAGTAGAAGGATCCAGGAGGGGTGGGAGAGGCTGGAAGCAGAGGGATATGGATGTACAGGAGGAAGAAAAGGGGATTAATCATTGGGTTGTACAATTTGATGGGTGGGTGGGGGTGAGGGAAATTGAAATAATTTGTTTGAATTTGTATTAGAATTTTGTATATAAACTGATTTTAAAAAGTATTAAAAAACAAAAAAATAATAGACCTGTTGTTGTTGTTATGTTCCGTCGAGTCGTTTGCGACTCATATGTACAACAGCCCTAAACCTTGCTCTATCCTGTGCCAATCTCATTGCCTCTGACACACCCATCCCGAGTACCCCAGTCACTGAATCAATCCACCTCATAGAGGGTCTTCCCCTCCTGCGCTGTCCCTCCACTCTACCCAGCATGATGTCCCTCTCTAAAGACCTGTCCCTCCTTACAACATGTCCAAAGTATGTCAGACGAAGCCCCAGAATCCTCAGAATCCTTGCCTCCAAGAGGTCCTGCTTAAAATGGCAGAGATGTATTTGCCAGGTTTGAAGACCTGAAGGCCAAAGTCAGTTTCTCTTGAGCTGAAATCATGGTGATGGCCTGAAGACACACCCTCTGGGCGGACCTTCTAGTTACTGTTGGGCAGACTTGAACCCTTGACAACCCCCATCTGTATCAGTGTAGAACTGTGCTCCGTAGCGTCTCAATGGCTGTGACCTTTCAGAAGTAGATCTCTAGGTTCCTCTCCGTATCCTTGAACTGATACCCTCTCAGGTAGCAGCTGGGTATATTAACCATTTGTCCCTTCTCTTATGAAGACATTTGTGATGATGTTTAGGGAGTTCTGGTGACGCAGCCCATAGGGAATTGCACTGCTGATCCAGGGACAGTTTGTGTCCACCAGTGGGGTCTTCAGGAGAAAACACACAGGCTCCTTCCATGTGACGTGCCTCTCAGACACCTAACAGAAGGGCAGCAACGAATCAGTTCTGACTCCATGACAATGAGTTTATTTTGCTAGCTTAAAATAATCAAGGATAATTTAACTGAAAATGCTAAATTTATCATCACTGCAAAAACTCAAACATCTATAAACTATTTCCATACTCCAGAGATTAGGATTTGGTATTTTTGGGGGGCAATATTTATTTTTTTGCCATGCTCTTCTTAAAATAGTGGTACACCTTTTCTCTTTCAAGCATCTGACCTCTTCACCACACACATTTGAGATTAGCAGAAGGTATAATGCTAATTTTGTTTGCAAATGTTGGATTCATAGGCTTGACTCTTCCTGTCTTCTGTAATTACCTGGATTGTTTGCCCTCTAAACCATTTTCCAGCTGAGATTTGGACACAAATGAAAAAATTACAGCCTCCACCTAATTTTATAATGGAGAGCTGAAAGGCTAGGCTAAATTACTTCTTAGTATGTAATTTGCCCACTAATAATCAGTTTTACCTTTTATGGGTTAACCATCATGAATCGACAGAATCATCATGCAAATAAAAACCTTGGTTTGAGTTCAGGTTGCACTTGATGTTTGCAGCAAACAGTAGACGTAGCAGCAGATTCATCTGCAGGTAGGATGGAGCCTCCTCCTTTATCTCTGTGAAATGCCCTGAAAGGCAGACCTGCTGCTTATAATTGGATTGTTCCGTTTATGTTTTGTTTTGTTTGCTTGTAATTCGAGTAGCAGGTAACAAACCTGATTCCGTGTGC